TGGGGCCACGCGGCCTCCGGGCTCTCAGCCCTGTGCCCCACTCCGCCGGGGAGGGGGGGACACGGCAGGGGGACCGGTGGTGGAGACACCTCCTCAGCTCCTGCGCACCCTGCGCCGCTCTCCCTGCAGGTGGGGACCAACGGGGTCATCTCCACCCAGGATTTCCCCAGGGAGACCCAGTACGTGGATGACGATTTCCCCACAGACTTCCCCGTCATCGCTCCCTTCCTGGCCGACCTCGACACCTCCGGCGACAGAGGGAACATCTACTACCGGCAAGACGACTCTCCGGACGTGCTGGACCGGGCTGCGGGCTACATCCGGGCTGGGTTCCCCCGCACCGCCGGCTCCTTCGTGCCCACCAATGCGTTCATCGCCACCTGGGAGGACGTGGGCGCCTACCAGGAGCTCTCGCAGGACACCAAACCCTCCAAGGTGAGGCCGATGGGCTGAGGTTGGGCGCCCATCCTACGTGTCGTGAGAGGATGAGTCTTCCTCGGGTAGCACCTGAAACGCTCAGTCTCTTCTTTCTGGGCAGCTGGACGGTGGATCCAGCCTTGGACGAGCACCGGGGGAGACATGGAGCTTCTCCTCTCTGCTCAGAGCTGCGGCGGTGGTGGGTCTGTTGCCTTTGCTTGATGGGCAGAAGAGGTTCAGAGGTTGCCTTCAACTCCATGGTTGGAGGAGCTCAGGCTTTTGCCTGCTTTTCAGGCAAAGCTTTACAGTGCCGGTGGCTCTGGATTTGCAGGGCAGAGTTGGGCCAGGGGCAGCTGGGGGAGGCCGTGGCCCAGGTCACCCATCGTGCTCCTGACCTCTTGCCGGTGGCTTCCAGACCTTCCTTCTGCCCGCACGCTGATTTAACGCTGCCGGCGAGGAACCGGCTTCGGAGTTTCTGCTGTGGGTTGATTTTGTTTCTGGAAAACAAGCTCGTTGGTGGTCCGCCGGGTCGGGGAGGTGACCTGTGCTCTCCACCCACGGGCTGATAAGGCTCCCGTGTGGGTGGACCTACAGCGCTGCCGTTCCCCGAAAACGAGGATCCGCTGCTGGGGCAGGAGCCGTCACATTAGGTTGATGACGCACTGAGGAGGTGACGGTGACGCTCTTGACGGCAGGACGGGCTTCTTGAAACGAGCTGAATATGAAGAGCTGCAAGAGGAAAACTCTCGTGACGAATACCCGGAGCCGTGCGATGGGCGACGAGCTCTCGCCACGCTGGGGTGGGCTGAACCCGAAGGCCATCAGCAGCCACCGGGTCCCCCCGGGCCACCGGGAGCCGTCCCCGCCGGCCATCCCCCCCGTTCCGGGGCCCTTCGGTAGTGCGTTGCTGAGAGTGGTGGCCAAGGAAGGGAAGAAACCGAGGTTTGGAAGGAAACAACGCGCATTTTTTCCTCTAATTTAAAACTTGGGAAAGCAGCTGAAGAGATGCCATCAGGGGCCTCGCAGCGACCTCGCAGCCGTCAAAAACGCAGCCTCCTCTTCTCTTCCCAATTGTTTTTTTTCCTCTCTGAGAAGTTGGATCAGGTTTTAAAACGAAACCGGTCTTGCTTGGAAACGAGCAGCTCCAGGGAAAGCTTCATTCAAGACACACTGAAATTCAGCTTGTGCCTGTGATCTGCTGGACCCCCCCTTAGCCAAAACTGCTAAAAAAACTCCCCAAACACCACTTTTTTCTTACCAAATATGCCATTTATTGAAACGCTGCCCTCCCGCTGCTCAGAACCAGGATTTCCCCCCAGCTTTCGGAAAGTCACGGCTCATCCTTTTTGAGCCTCGAAAGCAGAAACCTGGGTTAAGGTGGGGGGGTTAGAGGCTCCCCAGTCCCCTGCCCTGCCCGGCCGGGCAGCGCCCTGTCCCCTCCAGCTCCTTGGGGACACGCTCCTAGTCCCTGCAGTGACGCTTTCCAGGGCTGCGGAGGCGGGCGAGAGCTGACCCCGCTTCTGCGGGAGCAAAAATTGCTCTTTGGGCTGGAATTTGCCCTTTGCAGCTCTTTGCCGGGAGCAGCCGGCCGCAAGCCGGGGGCTGCCCCCCCCCTCTCGCTCTCTCCCCTGCGTCCCTCGATGCCAGCGCGGTGGTGTCACCCAGGGTCCCCCCTTGCCGCCCACTGCAAGGCAAAATGAGTCCTGCAGCTGCCGCCGCGATTTGGCTGCGTGGGGGAGGAATCCGGCCCCGGGGTGGGGGGGTTTATCCCCCCCCCCCGGGCTTTTTGGCTGGCTTTGCACGGGGGCTC